AGAGACGGGTCCTTGGAGAGGGACGTCACACTTGGGAGGGTGGAGGGACAGCACAGGAGAGACAGGCCCTCTATGAGGTGGATTGATTCAGTGACTGGGGTAATTGGGTTGGGAGTGTCAGAGACAGTGCGATTGGCATTGGACAGAGCGGAGTTTATGACTGTTCTACATAGGGTTCCTATGAGTCGCAAGCAACTCGATGGCTCATAATGACAACAACAACAACATATTATTAAAATACAGCTGTTAAGCATCTTAAGTGGAACTTTCTCAGATTGCAGACCCTCTTGTTTTTACCGGATACCCCTCCTCCACTTTGATGTTGTTGTTTTTGTGTATCTTCAAGTCAGAACTGACCTATAGCTGACCCTCCTGGTGGTTTTCAGAGGCAGTTTATTGCATGGGCGGAGATTACCCATCCTTCTCCCCCTGATTCCCACCTTAAGTGGACTGAATTAAAAAGCCATCTTTTTTTCCGTTTTGCAACCACTCTGTTATATTGTTCCTTACAACAATTGAGAGTGACATCTTATGAGATGAGGGCAGGGGCTGGGGGAACCACACCTGAAGAAGCTGGGTCCTCACCATTTGCTCTCCTAGAGTGGCTGTACTTGAATCTGTTAGGAGGGGACATTGCACTTGATGTTTTAGTTTTAACTGGAAGTTTTCACCTTGAGGCTTCTACTGCACCTCCATGTAAATTGCAAGAGAAGTTGAAGAAGTTACTAGAACTCAGTTATCAATACTGAGCTCTTTAGAAAAGGCTTTTGGGGGACTGTTGTGTGCATTTGAATTGGAACAGACTTAGTATCTGACTCTCCAGGAAGTTTTCAAAGCTTTAAATAACATAGGGGAAGATTACCCATCTTTCTTCTTCAGAGCAGATGTGTTCAAACCCTGATGCGTATGGTTGGTAGCACAACTTTTTTTTAGCTTTTATATGAGTTTATTCATTTAACTTTAAAACACTACTATAGTTGAATATTAAAACAAAAACAATAGCCAAGTAGTGAGCATATTATGATTGCAGTCCTTCACGTATGCACTTGCTGCATATTAAGTGCAGTGGACTCAGTGGCCCCATTAGAGGTCTGACCCTGAACCCCGCCTCTGGGGTGATGGTCGTCATCCTCATATGCTTCTCCATTGTAATGGTGGCAGCGTTCCTGGTTTGGATCAAAGTCCGCCAGTTCTACTTGATCCATTTCATCAGTCTCTTCGACCTCTTTCCTCTCAGGTAGGCATTTTTCCAGCAGAGAGAGTTTTTCAGGAGAGAGAAAGCCATTCTCGGGAAAGTTAACCTTAAATTCAATGATTAGGCGCCCTTTTTCATATGGTCTATGATAAATTGGCATGCCTTCATTTAACACACATTTAATATCCTCCTGCTTGACAATCTGACCTGGATGAGAGGTGATGACTATGGTTCGGTTGTCAAGAGTGGATATTGGCTTTTGGAAGCCACACAATGCTTCAACCAGCTGTATGTCCATACACATAAAAAGGTCTTCTCCTCGTCTTGTAAAAACAGCATGATCCTTTTGATCTAAAACAATGATAATATCTCCAGGCTCTAGTCCTGGCTTTTGGTCTCCTTCACCATGCAACTTCTTAACACTAGGCTACCAGAGCTCCTTCCCCACCCCCACCCCCACATACCTTCCCTCAGTACTTGATAAAATCAATTTATTTTCCCAAACTTGTTGATACAACTTTAGTGAATTTTTGGAGGGAGTCGGGTTATGCCAGCAGACACTCTACTTTTCTCACTTGTAGTTTAGTTCTGATGTGTTTAAAGCCAATTTGAGAGAAGAAAAGTTCCCTAATGAAATCGTTTTAAAATTTCCTTATATAATTTAGATTAGGCTCATTACACACTCACACATGGCCCTTCTTACCTTATTCTGGCCTTAGTGTGTTTTGGGCACCTGACCCCCTCACCATTTTACTCTTATCAGTCTGTATCAGGTACATAAAAAATGTACAGCCTTGAAACTTTATAGCCTCTATGATGTCTCTCTATGGCATCTCTCTGGAGAATAAAGTGCATTTGATATAGGCCATGGTCTTCACAATCACTTGTTATGCATCAGAGAGTTGGACAATGACCAAGGAGGATAGAAGGAGAATTGATGCCTTTGACCTGTGATGCTGGAGAAGAGTATTGAGAATACCATGGACTGCTAGGAAAACAAACAGATTCGTCCTGGAAAGGGTTAAACCAGGTGGCCCCTTGGAGGCAAGGATTCTGAGTCTCAGTCTAACATACTTTGGACATGTTGTGAGGAGAGACCAGTCCTTGGAGAAGGACATCATGCTTGGGAGTGTGGAGGGACAGTGCAGGAGGGGAAGGCCCTCTATGAGGTGAATTGATTCAGTGACTGGGATAATTGGGATGGGAGTGTCAGAGACAGTGCGATTGGCACAGGACAGAGCAGAGTTTAGGGCTGTTGTACATAGGGTCGCTATGAGTCGCAAGCGACTCGAGGGCACATAACAACATGAGTTAGAAAGGATTTGATAACTATGCGGTTGGTTTTGGCTTTCATATGTTTTAACAGATATGTTTTCTATCTGGATTCAATATGGGTTGAAGCTCAATATCAAGAAGACAAAGATTCTTACCACTGGGCCAACTGACAGCATCAGGATGGATGGTGAAGAGATTGAGATTAACAGCTTTACTTTGCTTGGCTCCATGGTCAACACTCTTGGCACCAGCTACCAGGAAATTGAAAGATATATTGCAATGGGAAAGTGTGCTGTTGGGGACCTCTCCAAAATACTGATGAGCAATGATGTCACTCTGGAGACTAAGGTGCACCTGATACAGGCCATGGTCTTTGCAATCACTTGCTAGGTGTCAGAGTTGGATAATGACTAGGGAGGACAGAAGGAGAATTGATGCCTTTGAGGTGTGGTGTTGGAGGAAAGTGTTGAATATACCATGGGCTGCGAAGAAAACAGATTAACCCTGGAGAGTGTTAAACTAGGCTCCTCTTTGGAGGCAAAGATTCTGAAACTTTGTTTCTGACATACTTTGGACATGTTGCAAGGAAGGACATGACCTTGGATAAGGACATCATGCTTCGTAGGGTGGAGGAACAGTGCAAGAGAGGAAGACCCTCAATGAGGTGCATTGATTCAGTGATTGAGGGAATGGAGTTAGGTGTATCAGAGACAGTGAGACTGGAACAGAATAGGGCAGGGTTTAAGGCTATTGTACAGAGGGTTGCTACGAATCACAGGAGACTCGACAGCACGTAACAATAACAACACGTTTTGACTAATAGTTTCTTAAATACCAGCATCTAAGAAAAGCAAAGTGGCCAACACTTAAACATCCATTTTAATAACAATTAAACAAGTTCTATAAGTGTATTACTTTTTTTAATAAAAATTAACCAATTCAAAATTAAACCATTAAACATACTGGGCACTCCTTTAACTATTAATTAGGCTTTGACTGTGTCTATGAAGCAACCCAAGAAAAACTATGCTCTTCTCAGGTATTTTCTTAGTGTGTTCCGTTGCTCTGGACATATGCATAATACCACTGCTCCTCACACACAAAAAGTTAACTGAACCCATTATTTCTGAGTCAGAACCAATGCATAGCTGAGCTTCCAGCAGTTAATTAGAAGGTGATTGTCCATCTTTCTCCTGTACATCTGCTGGTAGATTAGAACCACTTGCCTTTGGGTTGTCAAGGCAACTCCTGAAGGGCCACACCACCGTAGTTTCATAGGTTTTAATGCCTTAGTGGGCAAGGAATTGCTTTCCAACCCAAAAGAAAGCACTTAGATTCCACCAGTAGCTCCAAGGATTAAAGATGTTCACTCTCCTTCCTTGTGATTTACAACTTCTTCATAATCCACAGGACAGCTATGTGTTGGTTCAATAACAATGTACAACAACCATAATATTGTAAAGACAATCTCAGTTTTTGTCCAGAGAACTTATGGTTGTTGTTAGTAGTTGTTATTAGGTGCCATAAAGTAAAGTTCCACTCATAACAACCCCATAAACAAAAGAGGTGAACCTTGTCCTATCCTGCACCATTCTCACACTTACTGAGACACTAGAGCTCATTGCAGCATTCACAGTGTCAATCCATCCGGTCGAGGGTCTTCCTCTCCTTCACCGAACCCCCTACCCCTGCAGTTCTCACTATCTTGTCTGTACCCAAGGAATAGCTCCTCCTAGCAACATGTCCATAGTATGTGAGGTGAAGCCTCATCATTCCTGCCTCACAAAAGCATTCCAGCTGCATCATCTCCAAGACATATCTATTTGTTCTCTTGGCCATCCATGGGATGCTCAGTGTTCTTTCCCATCACCACAGCTCAAAGGCATCAATTCTTTGTCTGTTATTCTTATTCATTGTCCAGTTCTCAGATGCATAGCAAATAGTTGCAAAGACCATATGTAGCCTGTGAAATATTTTTACTATCTCCTTTCCACCTATGTAAGATACTACAGTATTTATGAACAAAGCTCACCCTTTTTCCAGCCTTTCCAGTTTTCCTCTGAAAACTTCCAAAAGTATTCAAATAAGCAACCTATTTACAAAAAACAACAACAAACTACTTGCTTTATTCTACCAGGTAGCTGTTAGAATGATTGGAATAAAGATACATGGTAATTTGGAAATAAGTTTTTCCTGTACCATCTTGAGAGATGTGCTGAGATCCCCACTGGAATGGGGGCTGCTGTTTTGCTATAAAGGGGGTGACATGCAAGAAAGTAAAAAAGCTGTAAAACTTCAGTTGTAAAACTCTTTTTTCATTCATTCAAAATTCGCTGAATGTGACGTAAATTGTGGTTTACGAATTTCTAATTTGGCTGGTTTTGCTAACTTCCACTTGTATTTTAATGTTTCTATGGTGCAAGATTTTTAAGATCCTCCTTTATCTTGATTCACCCTTTATGAAAAAGTATTTTTGAAAACAAGAAACATCAATGATAATCTTTGCTTTTCCTTATTTTTAGCTATACTCAAAACAGATTGTGTTTGAGGAATTTCATTGTTTCAAAATTTTAAAATATTGCTGAGAATGGAAAACTTTCTTGGGTAATTAAGGAAAATTGCTAGTATAATTAATGATGGGAATATTGAAAATGTTTGGCAATATCACTTCCTCAGCTATACTTCAGTTAGGACTTACTAAGAAATTAACACCCTTAGTACCAGCAGTCAGGAAATAAGGAGCTGCATTGCACTAAGAAAATGTGAAGTTAGGGACCTTTCCAAATTATTGAGGAGCAGTGATGTCAGTTTGAAGACTAAGGTGTATCTGATTCAGACCATAGTCTTTCTGATTACTCGCTATGCATCTGAGAGCTGGACCATTAAAAAGCACGACAGAAAAAGAATTGTCTTTGAGCTTTGGTGTTGGAGGAGGGAATTGAACATTCCATGGATTACCGACCAAGAGAACATGCAGCTATGTCTTGGAGAAGGTGAAGCTGAAGTGCTTTTTGGAAGCTGGAATGATGAGGCTTTGCCTTACATACTTTGGACACGTTGCTAGGAGGTGCTTTTGCTTGGAGAAGGCCATGATGCCAGGAAGAGTGGAGGGTTGGCAAAGAAGAGAAAAACCCTCAATCAGGTGGATTGACAAGGTGACAGCTGCAATGGACTCTTGTGTGTCAGAACATGAGGATGGCACAGGATAGGGTTACTATGAGTCATACTTGACTCGATGGCACCTAACAACATCAAGGGCTTCAGGAATAGAGGAAGACTCATCAACAACTGCATTATGCAGATGATACAACCTTGATTGCCAAAACTGAAGAGGACATGAGGTGTTTGCACAGAAGGTCAAGAACTGAAGTCTTCAATACGGACTGAAACTCCACATCAAGAAAACAACAAGATAAGGGTGAATAGATAATGATTATTGCATTGGAACAGATGAAAGAAAAAAGTATGTAAGATGAATGTCTGATTAGGCATTTTACATTATGATGACAGCCCAGAATAAGAGATATTTCATTGCAATGAAGACTTAGAGGTGGGGAGAGGTAGGTAACTGTGCAACAATGAATGAATATTTCTTTTAAAGTGAACTGGCGAGGGGATAAGGGAAAATGTTCATTAAAATCACAATTAAACTAAAATTTTATTAAAAAAATAAAACAAAGAATCCCATCACTGAGACAATTAGCAACTTCATGATGGACGCAGAAGAGCCTGCTTTGTTCTACAACCAGCACTCTTGGCACCAATAGTCAGGAAATCAAAAGACAAATTGCATTGGGAAAGTCGGCTGTCAGGAGTTCTATAGAATACCGAATAACAATGATGTCAGTCTGGAGACTAAGGTGTGATTGATCTGGGCCATGGTCTTCACAATTACTTGCTGTGCATACAAGAGCCAGACAATAAGTATGATAGAATGATCGGTGCCTTTGAGATGTGGTGCTGAAGAAGAGCATTGAACATACTGTGGACTGCCAGGAGAACAAACAGTTCTGACCTAGAGAGGGTGAAAGGTTGTTCCCTAGATTATAGGATTTTGAGGCTTCATTTCACATACTTTTAGGCACATGGACAGGAGAGACTAGTCGTCGGAGAGGGCTATCATTCTTGGAAGGGTGGAGGGACATCTCAGGAGAGGAAGACCAAGGATGAGATGGGTTGACTAGAGAAAAGGGAATAGGTCCTTTGGAGATGGTGAGATTGGCTCAGGATAGAGCAGGTTTCAGAGCTAATGTACATAGGGGTCACTGTGTCTCAGGCGACTCGATGACACATAACAACATCGACAACAAGGGCTCGAAAAAGAACAGTTCATGATCCAAGTCTACCAATCACCTGCTTTAATAAATAAAATAGTATTTTTAAACACAAACTCATTTTTGTGTTGTATCTATCTACTTTCATAATATATCACTTGCAAAACATAAAATATTTTACCTATCTAGACCTTTATAGGGAAAGTTTACTAACTGCTGCTTGGTGAAATAGCAATAGAATTTTTTTTATTCTTATTTATCACTAGTTTCACAGTGTAATTTAGCTAAATTGCAGCTTTTGAATACACATCACACTGGTATATGTCTTCGCTCCTAATTTTACTCCACCTGGAATACTGGCCATCTCCTTGAACTCATGCAAAAAAAATCTACTATTCTTTATGTGGTGATTTGAATTACACTTTATCTGTGAAACCTAATGATTAAAAGAAAAGGTAATTACTTTATCTTCTTAAATCTACTAGTCATTCTCTTACACACATTGTAAATTTCTTATATCTCTCATGCGTCTGTTTCCCTGAAACACACTTAATCATGTTTAAATAAATTTCTCTACTTGTTCTTGACCTAAACCCTAGCAATTTAATGTTGTTCTAGACCTAAACCCTAGCAATTTAATGTGACTAGAGAAAAACATGAACTTAAATAAATATATGTTAAATCAGTCCAGTTTATATTTCAGAAGTGTTTGAAAGGCAAAGTAATTTAATTATTGGAACTTTGTTGCAGTTAATATTTATATCAAAGGAGGTGTCAAACTTTGGATTTTTTTTCCAAGAAAGTAAGTTATATTTATAAATAACAGCAACATAGTTGTTTAAACTTAGTATGCTTTCGTTATTTTTTTAATTAAGTGATATTAAATATACAACCTTGTAATCTTCATATTGTTTGACATTGAATTAAAAAACAAGTTTTGGTGTTTATGAAATTCTCAATTCTTAAATGGTGTTTTAAATGACAAACATTTCTTTAAAAGATAAAACATTAAGTAATTTTCTGTGCAAGCAACTTCTTTTAAATTAGATAAACTGTCAATAGTTTATATGGATCTAGGTACATGGATGCTTCCACTTTTCACTAGTGTGACTGAAATGTGTACAGGTATGAAATACAGTAGGATAAATGTGAGCTTCATGCTCGGATAGACCTAATTTAAACTTCTGTTTGTCATGTATTTGTTGTGGGACTCGGTAACTAATACAAGTGCTGCTAAGACAGTCTCATAGGTTTGTTATGAAGATCAAATGTGGCATATAGATGTAAACATTAATCTTCCCCTCCCCTTTACCTTAGCAGTTCACTTCTTTTTTTCAATGATCATCTTTTACTCTGTATTATATTATAGGAGTTATTCTGGATGGATGGCTGCTGGAAACCCAGTCCCATAACCAGCTTCTTCAATACTTAAAGGATCACCGTGGCATTGAGTAATGAGAATTTCGGTGAGAAAAATTAAATGAAGATAGTGTATAGATTGTTCTTTAAAGGCCTTTTGAATCTCAGATTCATCATAATAAGGATGCCACATATTTGTTCATGTTTAGATTGTGCCCATTTTATTTTAAATAAAATTTTTATTTTATACTGGTTTACTTACCAAGTTCTTATACATTGTTTTCACACCCATTTCCTTTATCCATTCCTCCCTCTACCCATCAAATTTTTGGACCCTATGATTACATACCTTTACCCCACCCCATCCTCACCTCTCTACTCCTGCCCTCCCCGCTTTGGATCTTCTTGCACGTTTTACTAGTTATCTATTTCCACAAAAATGGTCTTATATAATATTTATCCTCATGGGACGTAGTTCACTCAGAACAATACTCTCTCGTCCCTCCTAAGTTATGGAGTGATTTTCAGAATCATTGCTCCTGCATGTTGCACAGTGTTCCACTGTGTGAATGTACCACAGTTTCTAAATCCATTTGATTGCGGTTAGACATTTGAGCTGTTTCTATGTTCTTGCATGGTAAGTAACCCTGCTGAGAATGAAGTAACACAAATAGCCATTTGTGTCTCAGTTCCGATTTTCTCAGGGTATATTCTAAGCAGTGGAATAGCCGGGTCATATGGATTTTCTATGTCCAGTTTTTTGAGGAAACGCCAAACTGCCCTCTAGAGTGGTTCATTGTATTGTACACATTTTCAAAATAAAAATAATTGATTGTTAAGTCTACTAACAACCTAGCTCTATTTTCCATATCATTGTAGATATGTTATCCCACATTATATTCTATCATTTAAAGTTCTAACTGCTCAGTAAATTGTGTAGTCTTGGAGGGGAAGTTCTGTCTATTACTCATTTCTCAGAGTAGGCTGAATGAAGTACAGACTCTTATTGGTTAAGGTGATAGCACTGCTCTCTAAACTGTAAATAAGCCTGTAAAGGCTTGGACAGCTTGAAAGAGGCAGCAAAAAATAGTAAATCCCTTGGAAGTTCTTCTTCCCTAAATCATAAATATATATATAAAGAGTAGCTCTTAACATGCATATTCTATATCTAGTTGGTTTCCATATTGTCTGGGTTTTGTTTTGTTTTGTTTTTTCTGAATTGTATCACTATATCATTGCTTTGTATATAATTATATGAACTGAATATAGTAATAATAAACTTATCTCATGCTTTGATCTGGGCTGTTTTAAGTATTTTAACCAATTAAAAATAAGGAAAGATGAAGAAGTCAAAGATACTAGAAAAACAACCAAGTGGTGATAGTAATATATATATGTAAATGAGTAGCTAATATATGTTGGTTAAACTTCTGCCTTTAAAATTCAGTTGGAGAAATATTGATTAAGAATTGTGTGCATAGGAGAGATGCAGAAGTAGGGGAAAATAAATACACTTAAGATAAATTTCAGTTTCGTTACTCCTGATAAGATGTCTGAATCTTGAAATTATTATTTGAATTTACATTTTTAAGACCTAAAAAGAAAAGGAAGTTTATTTATAACATCTCTCTTTTTAACTGAAAGAATTTTAACCATTTTCTCTCTGATTGTATTTTTTAGAAACCATATTTAAGAAGTACCTCCATCCAGTGCTATTTGTGTTTACTTCTACACAGCCATTTTTTAACTGAGGCTGGCATTCATGTCTTCATTTTGGGGTAATATCATTATAGACATGTACATAATTATGTTGCTACCAATAAAAATGTCTTGTTAAAACTTATTTTATACAACATTGGTTTATTTAGTTTAGTTTACTTAAAGTTTGATTATTCACCATTTAGAGTATGAGAGTGGTCAGAGTATGAAGAATGAGAGATTTCATAAGTATCTAATTTACCACTTGTATATTTTTTTAATATTACAAATGAGCAATATAGCCATAAATGAATCTGATCTGCTCATTTGAAGCTAAACTTGGAATTCTATTTTTTCATTTTATATCTTACAATTTTCGTAGTAGTAAAAAAATGTATTTAGGACTGTTCCTATTGTTTTGGTAACTTATTCTTGGTATAACTATTCCTATCCTTTGAACCTCTATTCAAGTTCTCTTCAAACATGTTTGGTTTTTGTTTTATTTTGTTTTGGGTTTCTTTTCAGCTTTTATTTTCCTTCCTTAAAAAAGATAACATTTATGGTTTCCTACTAATGTTTCTTTTTTCTCTCCTTGATACACTCAATAGGCCCAAAACACTGAACCATTATCTATAGAGAGCATAGTCTGATTCCCAGTTCAGTTTTACATTACTGACACCTTCATGATGTGGGTGACTGTAGATTTTTGCAGGTAAATCTTCCTCCTACAACAAATTAGTGTTGGCTTTTGTGTCACTGCACAAGATCTACCAGAAATGGAATATTTTTCCTGATGTTCTAAAAATTATTTCACACTGTTGATCAGTATACGTGTCTTCTGTTAGGATAACAAATTTAGATTTTACTTAAATGTTTAAGTATATGATCTGTCAACCAGAGAGATCTGTCAAACAGACGAGGCTGTAGCATCTGATGTTTATGATGAAGGATCAGCAAGATTAGTGATAACATGATCATTGCATGGGCATAATTGACATATTGTGAGAAAGAGTAACTGTCATAACGATTATATGAAAATCATAATTTCTTATGTTTATAATTTTAATTATTAATTTGATCTAAAAATCTCACTATATGTGAAGAAAGTTATTATTGTTTTTATGTGCCATTAATCCAGAAATTACTCACAGCCAAGCTTCCTGCAGGTTTTCAGAGGCTGTAAATCATGCATGTCTGGCATGATTTCTATTTCATTGTGGTAAATTGCACCAGTTATTCCTACAATTGTGTTTCTCTCTAATCCAAATATTTCCTCAAATTAACCTGAATATATCAAGAATAGAGTGTATTTTCTTTCATTTTTTAAATACTCTTCTACAAGAAACAACCCAATATTTTTGCTCTCAGAATATTTTTTTTTTAAATCTTGATTGCTTTTTTGCCTATGATATTCAAGACAATGTTATGCTATTTCAAAATACTCATTGATTTTGCTTCAGGTGCTTTAGTGCAAGTCTTCCTAAAACGGAGGCCAACTGGAGTGATGTAATAAGTGATTTGAAAAAGATTGAAAGTCTTATTCAAGTAAGTACCTTTACTTCCATAAAATAAATATTCTTTTTAATTCCTATAGGATATCTCTCTCTTTCTGTTTTGTTGTCAGTCTTTATTATATATATATAGCTCTTAACCTTTTTTTAAAAAACACACAAGTGTTTTAGAGTGTAAAAAGTATTTTGCTTGAAGTTTTCAGGTTCTATTTTTTTTACCAGTTAATATACAAGCAGCCCAGCCTAGCAAAGAAATTCCTCTTTTTGCAGATCAGAAACTACTTTCCTCTAGGCAATGAAACAAGGTGACTTGGAGACACCTAGAGAGAGAATCTCACCATAAACTAGTAGCCTGGCCAGTGAAGTGTTTTCTATGTTTCTTCTCTATCTGGAGACACCAAATGGCCTGGACAGACCAGCAAAAGAGATTTACAAATAGGAGCTCTGTTGGCATAGTGACCTGCACAAGTGCTTCTGTCTCTTCAGACTCTGTCTATACCTTAAGAAGCCAGGTGTTTAGTCTTGAGGAAATACCCTTAAATCCAGTGAATTACAACAACAGAAAACAATAGATGGCTCAGCAGCCCCAGATAAACCAAATATACAGCAATACCACAGATTCTGAAAACGAAAATGTCATCTGAATCATAGTGCACAAAGTAGATTCAAATTTTCATGGTAAACTTCAGCAGAATTATATTAATCTACATTATCAAATCCATGATTTGAAGTTGTTTTATTGTTGTTATGTATCATTGTGTCAGAACCCACCCATAGCTAAATCTCTAGCAGGTTGTCAGAGGCAGTAAATTACACAGGAGGAGACATACAATCAATCATTTCTCTGCAGAGCAGCCGATGGATTTGAACTGTGTGCCTGTGGGATTGCAACACGGCTTCTTACTTCCTAGGCACTTTCTGCTATATTAGAAGTCCAAATTTTTAAAAGCACCAGTGTCCTAACATAACCATACACCTAGGTGTAAAAATAGCTAGATTCTTTTGGGAATTCAATATCTGACCAACTTCACAATATTTGCCAACTTCGCAAAGGGGAACTGTTCCCATCAACAGCATCAGTAACAAAATCAGTTCCAACACGGTGAGACATGTCTCCCATGTTCCCATGCCTCCTTCTAGTCATCTCAACACCAGTCCCACTTCTTTGCTGGATCTAAAGTCTGATGTGATAGCTCACAAACCACAGAGCATCATATTGAAGAAGTCACAAGATTATAATTAAGATTAATAACAGAATACAGTCAAGCAGGTCCCAGATGTGCACACAGACACCTCAGTCTCAAGTCTCATGTGTTACCAGGTTGTCAGCCCTGCAATATTGCCTTCTCTCGCCCAACTGTCAAAAAAAATTCTCAATACTGCCAATATTGTTTCTCCTCAATTGTCCAGCAAAATTCTCAGTCCTGTAAATACTGGCTTCTCCTCACCTCGCTGAAGCTCTCATCTCACATTCCCATCTCACATCAGGTCTCTAGTTTGATGATGGCTGTTGTTGTCTCGAAATTGTCCTACCTTTCACTAGTTTAGGCGAAGTTTCCTTCCTCTTCTGGTGGGGGAAGAATTCTGGCTCTGCAGCTAGAGCTATTCAATTTATTGGCAAGACTAGCCAGACCTTTTATAGATTATTGAGACTGGTCAATGCTTTTGTGGAATGGTAGATAGCTAATCCATTTCTCGATAAGTCAACATGTCCCATTTGCATAGCTCCACCCTTGCACATGGTTAGTCATCCACACTAAAAAAGCCATATTGAGAGACAAACTCCACAGGACACCATCTGGTTTTTCTAGCTGTTAGCATTCACATATGCAAAATTAACTTTCTCCTTACAGTATACAATAACTATATTCATAGTATGCAATCAGCAACTTCATCCCTCATGTTTTAACCTCTCCCATTTTATACAGTCAATTTCTGATTTGTCCATTCCTATTATTCTAGTACTCTGTGGAAAGAAGCACTTTTCTTTCTCTGGAGAATTTTCTGTTCCAATTAAAACTTTTACCTTGAAATCCCAGTCAAGAACAAACCATCATATTGTTACCATTAACAATAGCTCATAGCGTGAAACATCTTCTTGGGTTTTGACCATCTCTTCTCAAGCCATTCCAAGGTGAGGTCTAAATGAGCTTCAGCTGCAAACTCAGGAATCCACACTCTTCCAAACTGACTGGTCCCTTCACTAAGTCTTAGCCCCCACAAGGAGCCATGGCAACAAGATTGGAGTCCACATGACTCCCTGCTTCTCAAAGTCAGCAACCCTTTTGCACTTATTTATGTGCACAGTAAGTCAGCAATGCTGATGGACATGTCCAAACGCAGCCTGTGTCTTCATTGGTGCATTACTCTTTCTTCATTTGTGCATGCCTCTTAATTCCATCCCGGTGGATTCAGGTGATCACCGCAAGAGAGCATATTCACCAGCGTACAATTGAAAGTTTCTTATGATGCCAAGGAGCATACAAAATATCAACTTAAAGAAGAAAAGATAATCATTATAGTCTGAAACAGGGATGGACCAAATTTTTTATTTACCTGTCAAGATTTTAAAGCAATTATAATAAAAATAATTCAGATTATCCTAGAAAAATTGAAAAATAAATTTTAAAAAACCACATCATAAAAGAGAAAATATAAAAGATAGATATTATAGAGCTAAAATTTAAAATAACAGAAATAGGGAACCCACCAAAGAATATTGGTAGCATAATTAAAAATAATGAAAGTGACAAGAAAACCCTAGGTAAAAAGTAAATTCAGAGGACAGAGGGAATTCTTTTGGAATCTATGCAACAACCAATTTTTAGCAATGTCCAATATTTATTTAAGTCATATAATATTTGTGTCATCAGTGTTCCATTCAGAAAACTGAACAAGAATTTAAAAAAATTGGGGTGAATTTTTTTCCTAAATGCCCACATTAAATAAGTATTGAGAAAGAAGATAGGCCTGATGCACACCTTTAAAATCTTTAGTAATACAGGAAACATCAAAAGAAAATCAAAGAAATACACAGAGTTACTGTACCAAAAAGAATTGATCCACACTGAATCATTTCAAGAAGTAACATATAAACAAGAACCAATAGTACTTTAGGAAGAAGTCCAAGCTGGCAAAAAATAAAGCTACATGAATTAATGGAATAATAGTTGAGGTGTTTCAGGTAATACACACTACTAACTATGTGTTCTTGATTCTCTGCCTACAAATATGGAAGACAGCTACTTGGCCAACTAGCTGGAAGAGATCTGTATTTGTTTCCATTCTCAAGAAAGATGATCCAACATATTGTGTAAAATATCAAATTATTTCATTTAATATCACATGCAAAAATATCTTGTTGAAGATTATTAACAAAGAAACTAAAAGTGTACCTCAACAGGAAACTACTGGAAATGCAAGTTAGATTCAGAAGTAATGGCAAAAGGGGTATCTTTACTGATGTAGGACGAATCTTGACTGAAAGCAGAGAATACATGAAAGCTGTTTACTTGTACTTTACTAATATGAAAAGGCATTTGACTGTGTGAATCATAACAAATTATGGCTAACATTGAGAAGAATGAGAATCCCAGAACACTTAACTGTATTCATGGGAAAACAATTCATACACTAAGATTTAGTTGTCAAAACGAAGCAAGGGAACACCACATGGTTCAAAATCAGGAAAGGTATGTATCACAACTGTATTCTTTTTCCATGTCTATTAAATCTGTATGCTGAACAATAGCGATATATTGTTGTTGTTGTTATGTGCTGTTGAGTCACCTGTGACCCATAACAACTCTACGTATAGCAGCTCTGAACCCTTGCCTGTCCTGAGCCAGTCTCACTAATTTCAACACACAAACCCTATTGCCCCAGTTTCTGTATCAATCTATTTCATCAGAGGTCTTCCTCTCCTGCACCTCTCATGTCCCTCCACCTTTCTGAGCATGATGTCCTTCTCCAAGGATCAGCCCCTCCTGACCATGTGCCCAAAGTATGTAAGACAGAGCTTCAAAATGCTAGTCTCCAAGGAGAAACTTGGTTTTACCCTCTCTAAGACAGACCTATTTGTTTTCTTGGCAGTCCATGGTATGTTCAAGACTCTTCTCCAGCACCACAACTCAAAGACACCTATTCTTTTGCTGTCATCCTTAATCATTGTCCAACTCTCTGAAGCATAACAGGTAATTGTGAAGACCGTGGACTAGATTAGGTGCACCTTAGTCTCTAGACTGATGTTATTGCTTTTCAGCATACTGGAAAAGTCCATGACAGCATATTTTCCCAATGCAATTTGTCTTTTGATTTTCTGACCGCTGGTTTTAATTGTGGAGCCAAGAAAGCTGTAATTGCTAACACCTCAATCTTTTCTCCATCTATCATGGTGCTGCCAATTTGACCAGTCAAGAGAATCTTTGTCTTCTTAACTTTACTCTTCAATCCATGTTAAAGACTATAGTTCTTGACTTTCTGCAGCAAGCGATTCAGACCTTCTTCAGTTTCAGCAAGTAAAATTGTGTCATCTGCTTATCATTGATTGTTGATGAATCTTCCTCCAATCTTGATGCCACATTCCTCCTCATACAGCCCTACTTCCCGAATGATCTGTTCTGCATACAGATTGAAAAGGTATGGGGACAGGACTCATCCCTGACACAATCCTTTTCTGATTTCGAACTATGATATATTTTTTTCTTCTGCTATTCCTTACTTTCAGCCAGAATCAATTTGACATCAGCAATGATATCCCTGGTGCCACAGCCACTTCTCAATCTTGCTTGAACTTCTGGCAGTTCCTTATCTATGTTCTGTTCCAGCCATTTATGAATGACTTTCAGGAGTATTTTGCTTGCATGTGACATCAATTATATTGGTTGATAATTTCCACATTCAGTTGAATAACCTTTCCTGGGAATGGGAACAAATATAGACCTCTTCCAATCCATTGACCAGACAGCTATCCTCTTCCAAATTTCCAGACATAGACTGATGAGTGCATCCAAGGTTGCATCTGTTAATTGAAACAAATCAATTATTATTCCATTGATTCTTGGACCTTATTTTTTGCCAGTGTCTTCAATGCCACTTCCACTTCCTTTTTCATTACCATTGGCTCCTGTCCATACTGAAATTTTTCAGTGTCAATCAATTCTTTTTGGTACAGTTACTGTGTGTATTTCTTCCATCTTCTTTTGCTGCTTTCTGCGTCATTCAATATATTGCCCATAGCATCTTTCAACATTGAGACACGAGGCTTAATATTGTTTTTCAGTTCTTTCAGCTTGAGAAATGTGGAGCAAGTTCTTCCCTTTTTATTACCCAATTCCAGGTCTCTGCATATTCCATTATAATATTTTGCTTTGTCCTCCTGAGCTGCCCTTTGAAACCGTCTGTTCAGGTCTTTCACTTTGACATGTTTTCCTCTAGATCTGGCTTTTTGATGTTCCAGGACAATCTTTAGAGTCTCTTCTGACATCCATTTAGATTTTCTCTTTCTCCTCTGTTTTTGTAATGACATACTTTGGACATATTGCTAGGATATGCTGCTTATTCTTTGGAGAGGGACATGATGCTAGGAAGGGTGTAAAGTCTGCAAAGGAGAGGAAGACCCTCACCCAGGTGGATTGACAAGGTGACTGCTGCAATGGACTCTTGTGTGTTGGGCGGTATGAGGATGGCATAGGGCAGGACTAGGTTGAGATCTTTTGTTCATGGGGTTGCTATGAGTCGTACTCAACTTCATGATGCCTAAAAACAGCAACAACATATTTTTTTTTCAGACATCCATAGAGCATTCATTAACATTGAACATATTCTGAACCAGAAGAAAAGTTAAAAATTTATGAGACCTGGAATCCATGAGAGATTGTTTTTTTTATTTTAATGGAATAAAATGGGAAAAAATCTCCAATAGGATGGAAATTGCCAATATACTTCAAAATAATCTATCAGTCAAAGAAGTCTTTAAGTAATATAAAGTACATAGTTGTTACTGTGTACCACCAAATCGGAACCAAGTAATTGTGGAATGAGTTGACCTTCCAATGGGTTTGGAAGCAGGAGTGGCATCCACTTCCTAAATGACATGCCTCTGGAAACTCTCTAAACTTTGATAAATGCTGATATTTATAGAAAGTCCTCAGGCCTTTTGTTCATATGGTCGCTATAAGTCGTACTCGACTCGATGGCAGTCAACAACAACAATCACTTGAGAGGAGTTTGTCCTTCCTTCTCCCATGGAGCAACTGGTGGATTCAAACAAACCTCATATGTGCTTTCAGGATTGAACACAGATTCTTACCACTAGACCACCAGAGCCAAAATGCAAATAAACTATGACAGCATATGCAGAATGTAGCTAAATGTAATGTTGAATAGAAAATTAATGCACTACATGATTACATTAGAAAATTAAAAATGTCTCAAAAGAAAACCTCTATGTTTCTGCCTGAAGGAAATAGAAAAAGAAGAGCAATGTAAGAGAAGGAAAGAAATAGAGCTAAGAGCTAAAAGTAGTGAAATAATGCAGTAGAGGAGCTAATGAAACAAATATTTTTATTATTTTTTTAACAATCAATACAGTTGATAAACATCCAGCAAGATTTCATGGGGATAAAAAAGATACACAAATAATCAGTGTTGGGAAATAAATTGAGGCTATCACTAGAATCTGTCGCCATTAAAATGATAAAAATTAAGAACAACTTTATGCTCATACATTAAAGAATTTTAAAGAAATAATTCCTTAAATTTATGAATTACCAAAGTTAATTAAATACATAAACAGAATAAACCTATAGTCACTGTAGATATTGACTTTATTATTTTCAAGTGCCTGAAAAATATCCAGGGCTAAATTTCACTAGAGAATTCTTATAAACAGTAAAAAGATGAATCAAGACCAATTTAGCAGTCTTTTTAAAAAATAAAAGTATAGAGAATACTCTCCAAATTTATTTTTTTAATTTTTTAATTTTTATCTTTAGGATTAGCCTAATACCAAACCAAAGATGGGGGGGCAGGAATAGACTGGTTATATCATATAAACAAACATATATAAAAAAATCCTCAATAAATTATTAACAAACAATATCCATATAATTTTGGAATCCTTGAATAAGGATGAAAGACGAAGAATTGATATCTTTGAGCTGTGATGTTGGAGAAGAGCCCTGAACAAAGCATGGACTGCCAAAAGAACAAACAAATATGTCTTATAAAGGATACAGCCAGAGTGCTCTTTGGAGGGAAGAATGATGCGGCTTTGCCTCACATATTTTGGGTATGTTCCTTTGAGAGGAACATGATGCTTGGAAGGATGGAGAGTCAGTGAAGGAGAGGAAATCCCTTGACACAGTGACTACTGCCATGAGTAGTGTATCAGGAAGTGTGAAGACGGCAAAGGACAGGACTGCGTCCAAGATCTGTTGTCATAGGGTCACTATGAGTTGTACTCAAATTGATGGCACCTAACAACAATGATGAAATATATATATAAAAATTATATGCAGCATTACCATCTCAGTTTCCCAAAACTCCCATAATACAATACCACAAAATGAGTGGCTATAATATGCCAATTTCTTCTTTTTCCTGGGACTGGAAGTTTGATTTTAAAACTTCCATGCAGAGCTGAATCCGTCAGCAGCTTCTCAGAAGAAAGATGGGCACTCTCGTGTCCCTTTACTGTTTCTGAAAACTCCCTGGGATATCATCTATGAGTAGATTCTGACTTGATATCATAACATAGTTCTTTATAGGGTCGCTATGGAGAGAGAGCGCAGGAGAGGAGGACCCCAGATGAGATAGATTGATACAATAACTAGGACAATGGGGGTAGGTGTCTTGGAGTCAGTGAGACTGGCTCAGTACCAGGCAGGCTTCAGGGCTGTTGCACGTAGGGTCACTATGAGTCACAGGTGACTCAATAGCACATAACAACAACAACATGAGTCATAGTCCATGGTCAACTTGACATCAGATAACAATGAATTGAATACAACTCACAAATCCTTTAGTCCACCTTTTAATCAATTTTAATCACTTCACTTTAATCAACAGGCTAAAAGAGAAAATCTTAGTATCAATTGGTGCAGAAAAAAGACTTTTTAAAAATGCATCTTTCCATAGTAAAATTTCTTAGCCAACTAAGAATTAGGAAAAGAAAAAAACAAGACACTTAATGCACAGCAAGCATAAAAAAAAAAAATAGAGCTAACATCATACTTAATGGTGAAAAACTGATGATTTTCAACTAAGATCAGAAACAAGACAAAGATATATTCTGTCCCCAGTCTTCTTTACATAGTAATGAAAGTTCTAGCCAGATCAATAAGATAAGAAAAAGAAATTAGAAATAGGGTGGAGAGAGGGGAAGCCATATATATTGAGAAGGAAGAAGTTATAAATTACCACAAATATTTTTCAGTGAAAATACAAATAAATGGCTCTTTATTTAGAAAATGCAAGTTAAACCCAAAATGAAGTATCATCACATAGTGTTAGTCTGCCTTAAATTAAAGAGATAATGAAATATCGAATGCTGTCACAGATGAGAAGCTAAACCAGTTATACATTGCCAATGAGAATGTAAAAAGACAACCATTCAGGAAAACGGTATCTGTTTCCCATAATGTGAATTTGCCTCATGATCAGCTATTTTCATTAATAAACACTTATTTCAGAGAAATGGAAATTTATATGTACACAAAAACATACATGTGAATGTTCATAGCACCTGTATTTCATAATAGCCAAAAGGTGCAAAGAACCTAGATGTCCTAGATAATGATTATACAAACTATGGCATGTCCATTTCACAGAATATTAGTTAATTGTAATAATAATAAACTACATCTCACATCTTGATGAATTTCCAAACATCACTTTGTGTTTAAGAGTTCAGTACTAAAAGGTTACATGTTATGTCATTCCATTTATGTAACATTCTCGAAATGGCAAAGTCAGTGAGAGACAAAACAAAGTGGTTGCAAGAGACTAGAAAGGTAAGGTGGTGGGGAGGGTAAATAGAAAGGATGAAAGTGTGGGTATGAAAGAACTGCATCAGGTGGAATGGAGCTGTTCTGTATCCTGACCATGTATGTGGTTACATGAATCTACATATACAATAAACTAAACTATGCAAACTGGAAGTTCAATTCAAATCCACCAGCCTCCATGAGGGAAGCAAATGGGCAGTCTCTTCTCAATGTTTTCAGCCTCAGAAACCTAGTGGAGTGTTGCTAGAAGTAGGACTCCACTCAGTATCAATGGGCTGCCTTTGGTTCTGTTTACACCTCCTACAAATACACTTATTCTCTCTTATATTGATGTCAAGTTGGAGCATATTTAGAGCTGATGCTCCATTGCATTTCCAAGGCTGTAAATCGCTTGAGAGAAAATTGCTAACCTTTCTCCCACAGAACTGCTGGTGGACTCAAACTGCCAGCTGTCAGAAGCATAACCTTTGAGTTAGCAGAACAGCTCCCTGTGGACTACGCCACGAGAACTCCCTAGGAAAAGGGTGGAAAAAAATAGACTCCATTTGTGTCTTCTCTTAAAAGGCTATCTACATATATGATGATTTCAAAACAAAAAATTAATTAAAAATTTGAATTTAATGTGTTCAATATATTTTCATTATACTTAGAGTAGGGCATAATTTTTCATATTCTCTAAATGTGTTTCTTTTCAGTCTAAACATATTGATGCTACTTTATATACTGAAAGTGATGCTCATGTGAGTATGATTTATCTATTTTTTTAAATGACTGGGGCTTTATCATTTTTCAAAAGATCGAAATGCTATGTTTTCAGTTTATCTAGAATAGTTAGTCTTTAAATCTAGCATTGGTGTGCTTATAGAACAAGGGCTCAAGTAATTGAATGCTTGTTTGAAGTGATAGAACTTGGAGACAAACAGCTCTTTTGCCTCCCGATGCAGATAGATACAATAGACTGTTAACTGATTCAATTTCAAAGTCTAACTAACTTACCACACATTTTCAGTATTGCAGTCTTACCACCACACAATATATTTTCTACAACTTACATCCATATTCTCAAAGTAGAAAGCAGTCAATTAACTATCAACACACAGCACTCTGTGACTGTTCTTCTGCAATTAGGTAGCTTGCAGTATTTGAGTTGTAGAAAGAACCTGAGATTGAAATGTAGATTTAAATATGGCCTCATCAGTGGCCTAGATGTGATACATTGGAAGTCACTAAATAGTTGTGAATTTCCATTTCACTATTGCATGTCGGCAGCATTTACTCTTGAATCCTGTGCAGCTGCTGTGAATGATATTGGACTTTAAACAATTTCCGGCCTGTGCATGCATTTCTTCCTTTATTTGCCCACTTAATAAGCCTTTATTTCATGTATGCAGGCTCTCAAGTATTGAGAACACAAAGTCAAAATAAGACATGGCCAAATTTTCAGAAGTTTATTCAATGTTCCTTTCAAATTAGGGTGTTTTTTTTAAAAAAAAATGTTATAGTAATTACTGTGAGAAATCTATTTTTCTGGTGTGTAAGAGATCCCATTCTGAACTGTCTTAGTTTGTGAGTAGACCATGCTCCCGCTTTGATTTTTCCAGCAAATTTCTTGCAATCACTTGTTCCTAGGGAATTTTGAGTCTTGCAGGAAGAACATGATAGCAGCTACCACTTTTTAAAATACTAATGATATGCTCTGATTAAAAAAATTCTTCTATGCACACCATCTATATAATTATTTGTGATTCTAGAGCTTAGATGATCACTCTTTTAATAAGGAGGAAATGTGTTCAGTTGCAAAAGTGGCCTATTAGTTCTAGGCCAATTAGTTATAAGTTTTATGGGTTTTGGATTTTGTTTGTTTGTTTGTTTTCCTTCTGTGAAAAGAAGTGTGCTTGTTAATTATGTTACTTGTTTGGTTTAGTTTTAATTCTGAAGCAAAAAAGGAGAAATGAGGGAGGAGAAGGAAGCTACTTCCTGTATAGATTTTATGGTATTGTTTTTTGTGGGGGTTTTTTTCTCTTTTGTTTGCCTTATAAAATAAATTGATTAGCTTTTTTATTGTATCCATTGTATCCATGTAAAGATGAATAATCAGAATATAACTTAAAGTTTTCAAAATGGATCTTTGTTACTGTCTTTTCAGCCTAATTGCAAGGTAACAGCAATGCAATGCTTTCTTCTGGAGTTGAGGGTTATTTCATATGAATCCAGAAATAAGACCATTGATGAAACAGTAGAAAACCTCATCATTATAGCAAATAGCAGTTTATCTTCCAATGGGGTGAGTTATTCAGCAGTTGTACAGATGTGCATCTGATGACTGGGACTAGATAGGGGGAGTATCAAACTATAATAAAGAAACAAAAAGAGACAGCAGAATAGAGGGAGTTCACTTCCACTAGAGTTACTTCTGATAATGGGATTGTCCCTGGTATCAATCAGGAATTATTCATTGATTTTTTTCTTCTTCATTTAGTAAGAATTTGCGTTTCGTCAATAACTAGTATGTGTGTGTGTGTGTGTGTGTGTGTGTGTATATATATATACCATTTCTTCGTTAACAATCTCCAATTTTCCTACATTCTTACTTCTCACATTCCATTTTCCAATCAGTCTAGGGTCTATTTGAAACTCTTTCTCCTCCTTTGTGATTCCCAGTAAGAAGGCTCTGCCTCTGGTGCCGTATCTGCTAGTCTACTCTAAGTGAGCTCTTTTGTACATAGGGTTTTCTAAGACCTGTTATTTCAGGAGTGGATGCCTAATCCTTCTCCCTTAAATTAAGCTGTCTTAATTTAGATGCTCAACTCTGGAGTAACATTTGATAGGCAAAAATTTTGCCCACTATTCAAATAACAGATAAGGTTCTTTTCTCATCCACCACCCCCAGAGGAACAGGTGTCTTATTCCTGCCCAACCTCTAAGCTGCTAGCATCCAGCTCAGTTCCCTCTCTTTCCTCCTCTAGCTCCTCCCACATCCTGCCATTAGCCAATCCTGGTTGATGGCTCAGGCCTTAACCCATCTCTATTCACTCACTTACTCTACAATCCCCTGAAATATTGATGTTCCTGCATTGCACAGACTATCACACACTAGCAAGATTCTGCTGAAGATTATCCAAAAACAACTGGAACAGTATGTCAACAGAGAACTACCAGATTTGTAGGCTGGGTCTAGAAAAGGCAGTGGCACTAGGCACATCATAACCAATGTTCTATGGATCTTGGCCATAGCAGAAAGTATCTGAGGAAATTCTGTGTTTCACTCACTATGCAAAGGCATTTGACTGTGTGGATCACAACAAATTGTGGCTAGCCTTGAGAAGAATGGGGATCCCAGAACACCCAGAACACTTAATTGTGCTCATGTGAAACCTATACTTGGACCAGGAAGCAGTTGTCAGAACAGAGCAAGGAAACACTGCTTGGTTCAATATCAAGAAAGATATGCATCACAGGTGTATTCTATCTCCATGTATTTTCAATCTATATACAGAACAGATCATTCCAGAGAGGCTGGACTTTATGAGGAGGAGTTCAAGGAAGGACTGTAGGAAGACTTGTCAACAACTTGTGTTATGCAGATGACACTACCTTGCTGGTTAAAACTGAGAAGGACGTGTGGAATTTGCTGCAGAAGGTCAAGGACTATATAGTCTTCAATATGAGCTGAAACTCAACATCAAGAAAACACAAAGATCCTCACCTCTAGGTCAATTGGCTGCTTTATGATAGAAGAAGAGATTGAGTTTGTTAACAACTTCAGCTTGTCTTGTTCCACAGTCTATACTCTTGGCACCTGCAGTCAGGAAATTAGAAGACAAATTGCATTGGCAAAGTCTATTGTCAGGGAGCTCTCTAGAGTACTGAAAAGTAACTATGTCAGTCTGGAGATTAATGTGCACGTCATCTAGGCCATACTCTTCCCAATTACTTGCTATGCATTAGAGAGCTGAACAATAAAATAAGGATCTTAGAAGAAGGATCGATGCCTTTGAGTTGTGGTGCTAGTATTGAACACACTGTGAACTGCAAGGAGAACAAACAGGTGAGTCCTAGAGAAGGTAAAACCAAGGTACTCCTTGGAGGCAAGGATTTTGAAGCTCTATTATTCTTTGGGCATGTGGCCAGAAAGGACCAGACCTTGGAGAGTGCTTGGAAGGATGAAGGGACAGCACAGGAGAGGAAGACCCAGGATGAGATGGATTGACTCAGTGAATGTAGAAATGTGATTAGATCTGTAGGAGATAAGGAGATTAGCTCAGGATACTGCAGGGTTGAGAGCTGTTGTACATAGGGTTGCTATGAATCACAGGTGATTCCACAGCACATAACAACCACCACAACAATAGCAATCACTATGTGGTCGCTGACCTAAAAATGTTCATATTGAGGTAAGATGGCTAGATACTAATGGAATTTTATATTAAGTACTTAACTATACCATCAATAATAGAAACTCACATTTATTGAATTTTTGCTATGTATCAGACACAATTCTTCAAGCTTTAGATTGGTAATTCATTTAATCCTCACAGTGACTTCATGAAATCAACCTCCTTTTGACTATTTGAAGGTTAAAGGAATAAGGTCCTGAGAGCTTGAACAATTTGTCCAAAGTCATACAGTTACTAAAGAGGGAGTGAGAATTCATCCCAAAGCAGTTTCATTCTAGACTCTGCACTCTAAAAGAAGGAAAAACTGATACAAAAGGCTATCAATAAAAATATCGCCAAGTTAACTCCAAAAACTATAAGCACTATAGGATTTCGGGGTGGGGGCGAGGAGGTGGGAAGCAATAAATGTATTCGTTATTTCAGTAAGGGAAGTGTCTTTCATCTGCTAGGTAAAATAGCTTGTCTGTCTAAAGCTAAGTACCCAAATTAAGACAGACTAGGAACAAGGATTGACCATCCACTTCCTAAATATAACAGGCCTTCAAAAACCCTACAGACAGCAGAGAACACTTAGAGTACACTAACAGGGCAATTGAAGCTGAGCCCTCGAATATGGAAACACAAAGGAGGATAAACAGTTCTAAGAAGAAGACATTAACAATGGGTACGTGGAATGTGAGAAGCATGAATGTAGGAAACTAGACATTGTAAAGAAAGAAATGGGACACATAAATATTGACATAATGGGTATTAGGGAAATGAGATGGATTGGCATGGGATATTTTTAATTCCATGATCATATGATCTACTATACTGGAGATGAAAAGGTGAGAAAAAATGGGGTCACATTCATAAAAAGGTAATTTCTGGATCCATCTTGAAATACAATGTTGTGAATAACAGAATAATATGCATACAAGGAAGACCTGTTAATACCACCATCATTCAAATATATGCACCTACAACCAAAACCAAAGAGGAGGAAGTAGATAATTTCCATCAACTGTTGCAGTCAGAAATTGATTGAGCATGTAACCAAAATGCATTAATAATAATGGGTGATGGGAATGCAAAAGTTGGGAAGCAGGAAGGAGGATATGTAGTCAGATAATACGGACTTGGTAACAGACATTAGCCTGGGGATAGAATAATAGGATATTATACAATCAATTATTTATTGATAGCAAATCCTTTTATAAGAAACATAAACACAGGCTATACCTATAGATTTCACCTGATGGGAAACACAGAAATCAGACCGATAACATCTGTGGAAGGAATCATTGAAGAAGTTGAATATAAGCAGTGAAAACTAGGCCAAGTACTGATTGTGGAAGAGACCATCAACTACTCATATGCAAGTTAAAATTAAAACTAAAGAAGGTAAAATCATATTCACAGAAATAAAAATTTGACCTTGAGTCTACCCCCATGAATTTAGAAACCAACTCAGGAATAGGTGAATCCTTGAACATTAATGAACAAAGACCAGATAAGCTGTGGGAAGATATCAAAGAATGCAAAAAGTCATTACAAAGAAGGAAAAAGAAGAAAAGACCAAAATAGATGTCAAAAGAGACTCTGAGTATTACATTAGAGTGCCAAGAAGCTAAACCAAAGCGAAGAAATCAAGAAGTTAAGGAGCTGAATAGAAAATTTCAAAGGGCAGCTCAGGAAAACAAGTAAAAACATTACAATGAAATATGCAAGGAGCTGGAGTCAGAAAAATCAAAAGGGCCAAACTCGCTCAGCATTTCTTAAGCTGAAAGAACTAAAGAACAAATTCAAGCCATGAGTTGCAATGCTTAAGGATGCAATGGGTAGAATATTGAATGATTCAGGAAGCATCAAAAGAAGATGGAAGGAGTACAGAGAATCATTGTATCAAAAAGAATTGACTGACACAGAAGAATTTCAAGGAACATGATCAAGAGACAATAGTGATGAAGGAGGAAGTTCAGGCTGTTCTAAAGCACTTGGCAAATAAAAAGCCCAAGTAATTGATGGAATACAAATTGACATATTTTAGCAAACAGATACTGCCCTAGATGTGCTCATCAGGTTGTGCCAAGAAATCTGGAGGACAGCTACTTGGCCATTTGACTGGAAGATATCCATATTTATTCACATTCAAAAAAAAAAAAAAGGTGACACGACAGAATGTGGAAATTCTCAAACAATATCACTAACAAAATCCTGCTGAAGATTATTCAGAAATGACTGAAACAGTGCATTGACAGAACTACCAGAAATACAAGCTGAGTTTAGAAGAGCTTGTGGCACTAAAGACATTATTGCCAGTGGCAGATGGATCTTGACAAAAAGTAGATAGTACCAGAAGAATGTCTATCTGTGCTTCATTGACAGGCATTTGACTGTGGATCACAACAAATCTTGGCTAATTTGAGAAGAATGAGAATCCCAGAACACTTGATCGTGCTTATACAAAACCTATACTTGGGTGAAGAAGCAGTCTTCAGATCAGAGCAATTATTGTTAGGAGAGACTATCCTTTGTAAAGGGACGTCATTCTTGGAAAGAAAGATGCAGAGTCAGCAAAGGAGAGAAAGACCCCCAATTAGACGGATTGATATAATATCTGTGGCAATGCACTCAAATGCGCCAAGAATGATAAGGGTTGCACAGGATAAGACATCATTCACAGGGTTGCTATGAGTCATACTCAACACAAAGACACCTAACCACAACAACAACTCATGGTAGCATGGAGAATCAGATATACAAAGGCTGGGAGACACAGAGGTTTATGGCATTTATAGCCAAAGGAAATCAATCATTTATAAACAAAGAATTGCAACCAAAGTAGTTACTTAACAAGACTTTTGGGCTCCATTGTAAGGATATAGTTGCTGATGTTGCTATGTGCCCTAGAGCAAACTTCCATTCACAGCCTTTCAATGGAAAACAGATGCATTCCTTACCTTGTCCTACACCATCTTAATCCCCTCGGTACTTAATTAAGCCCTTTGTTGCCATCATTGTGACAGTCCATCTCAGTGTGTGTCTGTCTCTCCTTTGCTGAGCCTCTACTTTTCCTAAGACCAATGCCTCTTGATGACAGGCCCAAATATGAGAGATGAAGTTTTACTATCTTTGCCTCCAAAATTCACTCTGAATACCTTTCTTCTGAAATACATTCATACTATTGGCAGACCATAATACATTCAACAACACAATTAAAATGATACAGTATCTTTAAAATACACAAAATACTTACTGTCTATTTTTAAGGAAGAAAAAAAAACCAATCTACTTTGTACATCACTCTTCAATCAGTTTACAGTACTGAGGTAATCTGAATTTTTATGATGCTGGACCTTGTGCCATTAGAGTTTCAAATGCCATTTATGGTGTTCCAATGTGGACAGTGTTTGATGGAGCTCCCAGCTGTAAGATAGGTTTGGGGGTGGGGGAGTGGACGGGGAGAAAAGTGCAACAGTGAATGAATGGAAATCCAAAATCTCTGTAAATGTTCATTGAAATTAATAAAAACCAAATAGGCTTGGAAGCAGGAGTGGCATCCACTTCTTAAACTACATGCCTATGGAAACTCTATGAACTTGGAGAAACTATGATAATCATAGAAAGGCATTAGGTCTTTTGTTCATACAATCGCTGAGTCATGCTTGACTGGATGTCAATTAACAACAATGAAATAATTTAATAATAAATCCAATTTCTATTAAGTCCAGTTGAGAAAAAGAAAGTGAACTAAGAGATTGGACTTATAGTTTACACTGGTGGTTAGAGGATTATCTAGTACAATTACATTTGACATAGATATGAGGAAGTAAGCTTGCCTATAGCTGTTGGAATATGTATAGACAGGGAACTCCCAAAACACAATCATTGTGCCAATGTGTCTGGACAAATTGAGTTTTCTCTTAAAAGGTCCTTTGGAGGAGTGAAGGGGAAAGCTAATCTTACCATCTCTGACACATATTACCCCAGTCACTGTGTCAATCCATCTCATCCAAGGTCTTCCTCTTCTGTGCTGTCTCTCCACCCTTCCAAGTATGATGTCTAACACCCATGTAATCTGAGGTCTGAATAGAAGTATCTAAAGAGGAAGCATCCTAAGGAAGTAACCACACAAAAAGAAAAGGCAGGGAAACATTTAATAGCATGATGTATGACGTTTAGGAAAGACATGAACTCAGATTTCAAAGACCATACAGCTTTATGGATTCAGTAGGGGAAAATAGAACAGATAGGCAGCAGTATGGAGGATCTGAGTGCCAAGCAAGGAGGAATGAATTGATCCCAAAGGTAGATAATGAGACGCCATTCAAAGGCTCTAAGAGGAAGAAGTTGCGTTATCCAGTAAATATGACTTGTCACTATTTTTTTTTAAACTTTTAAATCTTGTTAGGAAAAGTTAGCTCATCAAATTTCTCAGTTCTCTTTTCCCATTGTTTTTCCTAATATAATATTAATTTTTTCAGTTTTCATGCCTCAAAACCCCACCATATTGTTCACATGATGTGATATTTCTGGGAATTAATTAAATTAGAAGAGCTAACCTAATCCTTTCTTATTATTTTACAGGATATAAAAGAGTCTGGATGTAAGGAATGTGAAGAACTGGAGGAAAAGAATATTAAAGATTTTTTAAAGAGTTTTTTACATATTGCACAAATGTTTAAAAACACTTCTTGATTACAATTGATCTTCAGCAGTTCTGTAATTAACAAACATCTTTCTGCTGCTTCGAGACAACAAAACACTCTGCATGTTAAGTGTACTGCAAAGACAAGTTTTCCCAAGCAAGAAGATTATCAGGATTTGGATCAAATTAAAAAGAAGACAAGAAAAGCCACTGATAACAATTTTAAAAGTCCTACCCATAATGATCTGTGTGTGTCAGAGTAAAACTTGCTCATTAAGGTTTTCAATGACTGATTTTCCTTTCTTCGGAAATAATTCCTCACACCTTTATTCCAAGGTGCTTCTGGGTAGACTCGAACCTACAGCCTTTGAGTTAGCAACTGAGCACAATAACTCAGTTGACTTAAGAAGTCTATATGAACTCTGTTCTCAAATATTTTGCTTTTTGTATTGTTAATTTATTATGAAAAGTGTTAACATTGTAGTATATTATAAAATGTCAAATAAAAGTGTATTACTATTTTAATATTTGAAATTGCACTGCTATATTACCTCTTATAAGAAAATACAAGCTATTTGTTCAGGAATGAGAAGGAAAATATGTGATAGTTACTTAACAAAAACTGCTTATAAAACGTGAGAAAATGATGTGATAGTCTGCTTATAGCCTAGGAAACCCAATGGGTAGTTCCCCTCTGTCCATTAGGCTCATCATGAGTCAAAATTGACTTGATGGCAACAGACTTGGTTTGATTATCAGTACTGGTTGCAAAGCAGTTACATTGATAAGATCCTGCTAATATGTGCCCACTGATTAACAGCCATCTTTTACTCATTCATTAGCTCTAACACCAAAGATATATTGACTACTAATGAGAAATAAATGGAAGGCTATGTTGTCTGTCTCCTGTGCTTTAATTTTTAATTTAGCCACTGAAATATAAAACACTTGCCATGAAAGAAATACCTTGCTGGCTGAAAGTGAAGAGGACATGAAACACTTGTTGCTTGAAGATTAAAAAAAAAAAATACAAAAAAAAAATACAGCCTTTGATATGGATTGCATCTCAATGTCAAGAAAACAAAGATACTTACCATTGGACCAATAGGCAGAATCATGATGATGAAGAAGAGAATGAAATTGTCAACAACTTCATCTTGTTTGGATCCACAATTCACACTCTTTGTACCAGCAGTCAAGAAATGAGAGGATGCTTTGCCCCGGGAAAGTCTGCAGTTAGTGACCTCTCCAAATTATTGAGGAAAAATTATGTCAGTTTAAAGACTAAAATACATCTGCTGCAGGCCATAATCTTTTCTAACACTTGTTATGCATCTGAGAGCTGTACAGTGAATAAAGATTACTGAAGAAGAATTGATTCCTTTGAGCAGTGGTGTTGGGAAAGAACACTGAACAGCCCATGGACGGCCAAAGAACAAACAAACAAGTCTTGGAAAGGGTGTAGTTGGAGTGCTCTTTGGAGGCAAGAATAATGAGGTTTTGCTTCACATGTTTTGGGCATGTTGCTAGGAGGTTTTATTCCTTGGAGAAAGACTTGATTCTGGGAAGGGTGGAGGGTCAGCGAAGGAGAGGAAGACCCTCGACCAGGTGGATTGACATGGTGACTGCTGCAATGAACTCTTGTATGTCAGGAAGTATGAGGATGGTGTAGGATTCATCTTTTGTTTATCAGGTCACTATGACTTATACTCAACTCAACAGCACCTAACAACAACAAGAAGGAAAAGAACATTTTCAGTGTCTGGCCCATAATGTATACATGTAAATTTAGGAGAGTTGTGGCAGTAATCATTCACAGGTGAGTCCACTGTGTGCCAAAAATGAATGTTGCAATGAATTTTATATTTTATACTTTCCAAGTACAGCTACTATATCTTTACATTATTTTGGAAATGTTTATAGAATAAACAACTGATTTGTTGAAGGCATCATTGTGTAAAATAAAAACTTTATAGTTTCTTGTCAAAACTTACTATTTAAATTAGTGTGCTGTCTTTTAGTGAAACTGAGTAAAGTGAAATATTCTCATTTCACTATGCTTTGTTTTCATTCCATATCTGATGAAATATTAGGACTTTGACTTTTTTAATTTTTATTTTATTTTATTATTTTTTATGTGTGTACCATCAAATCGGATCTGGCTGGTACAGGAGGAGATTGTCCCTCCTTCCCCA